TAAACAACATTTAAGGATTTTGTTTGTTTTTTCAAAATTTTTCTTCATATATATATATATATATATATCAGAGAAAATATATATTTACAAATGTAATATATATATATATCTGAATATTATATATATGATATATAATATCCTTATGACAAATGTGTATAGATATATAAATATTATATATAAAACACACAAAATTTTATATATATAATATATAATATATATATAAATATATATCGATAATATATATAATATATTTATATTATAAAATATATTTTCTTATGAAAATGAGTATATATATATGTATAATTTTATATATACACATATATATATATACACACATTTTTTAAATATATATATATATATATATATATATATATATATATATATATATATATATATATATATACTTATATCGAAACATATATATCCGAGAAAAAAAGGACAATTCTCTATTTGATTTACTAATAGAAGGAGCTTCTATTAGTAAATCTATAACGGTGAGCAGACAGCCAAGATTAGCTAAAGGAAGAATCTATTTAGATATTAACAATGAGGGCGAAAAAATTGCCATCACCCTTCCCATTTCCCTATGAGAAATAACTTGAGGTAATTCTCTAAATGATCCTACATGGCTCATGAGAATGAAGATCCGTCAGGTAACCAGACTCTGGACCATTTGCACAAATATACATTCTTTTAAGAATACCTTGAGCAAAAACTGCTTTTTGCTAATGCAATCTATTGTTTTATTTCGTTGTATTTTTCATTTATATGCTTCAACTTTGGTTAAGAGGTGCCGAATAGATTAATTCGCCCAGACCTGCTTATTTTGGTGGCAGTGCTTGGGTGACTTAGAAGGTCAGTCTGGCAACAATGTCTTTTTTTATCCCATATCTTTTTCTTCTTCTTCTGCATCTCCTCCTGCACCTTTTGCTTCTTCTTCTTTTCCTCCGCCTGCACCTCCTCCTCCTCCTTCTTCTTCTTCTTCTTTTCCTCCCCTGAACCTCCTCCTCCTTCTTCTGCAACTCCTCCTCCTCCTACTTCTTCTGCAACTCCTCCTCCTCCTTCTTCTTCTTCTTCTTCTTCTGTACCTCCTCCTGCTTCTTCTTCTTTTTCTCCTCCTGCACCTCCTCCTGCTTCTTCTTTTTCTCTTCCTGCACCTCCTCCTTCTCCTCCCCTGAACCTCCTCCTCCTTCTTCTTCTTCTGCACCTCCTCCTGCTTCTTCTTTTTCTCCTCTTGCACCTCCTCCCCTTCTTCTGCTTCTTCTTCTTTTCCTCTTTCTGCACCTCCTCCATCTTTTTCTTTTTTTCCTCCTCATGTACCTCCTCCTCCTTCTTTTCCTCCTCCTGCACCTTATCCTCCTTCTTCTTCTGCTTCTACTTCTTTTCCTTCTCGTTAACCACCTCCTCCTACTTCTTCTTTTCCTCCCCCTGAACCACCTCCTCCTCCTCCTTCTTCTTTTCCTTCCCCTGAACATCCACCTTCTTCTTCTTCTTCTTCTTCTTCTTCAACTCCTCCCCCACTTTCTTCTTCTTCTTCTTCTTCTTCTTCTTCTTCTTCTTCTTCTTCTTCTTCTTCTTCTTCTTCTTCTTCTTCTCCTCCTCTTCTTTCTTCTTCTTCTTCTTCTTCTTCTTCTTCTTCTTCTTCTTCAATACTCACGACTTACGCTGGAAATTAAGTGACAGCAAGTCACTTTCATATTCCAGCACTCTCCTCAGTATTCTTTCAATGCCACTCTCCAGACGTTTCCCTTCTTTCTCTGGTTGCTTCACTGAAGACTGACATGGCAGATTCACCTTCACACTTGCCGGTATTTTATGGATTTCAGAGCAAAACATCCGGCACCTATCTTTGAACACTGAGTACCACGAAATCACCTCAAATACTCAGCACCTTCCACAGTATATTTCCAGACCCCGGCAACATCCTGATCAGTATAGTTTCAGTTCTTTTATCACTTTTTTAATTCACGGCAAGGTCTAAATGGCGCCTATTATTATGGACAGGGCTCTCAAATGTTTAACGTACAGATTTCTCAGTTAATTTCTTTTTTAATCTATGAGCCGATGATAGGTCCTCTTTTTTTTCTTTTTCGTTTACACAATTTAATCGATTCTTTTCGTATAGATGGAGGAGTCTCTGTTAATCTATAGATAAGCTAGATCTATAATCAGTTATTTTTAACCTCGTTTCCTAGACCAATTCTTTTGGAAAAGTGTGTGCGAAATTCATTGGCTGCCTCATAATTTTTTCATTTTGATTTAATTAAAGCTAACCTTGATCATCAACGATATATACATAAGTAATATCCGAATGTCTAAAAATATAAATTCATATTTACTTTGAATATATTTGATCTAAAATTTATATAAATACAAGCTCAATCGTTATCAACAACTTATATATATATATAGACGTTAAACAATAGGAAAAAAAATATATATATATATATATATATATATATATATATATATGTATGCATGTATGTGTGTGTGTGTGTGTGTGTGTGTGTGTGTGTGTGTGTGTTTATACATTCTTTTTTATAGATACAAATATTTAAGTAAATGCTCTGTTTATAATAAACGGTATTAAACAACATTTACCGGCCTGAATGTCTTGAAATTTTTATAGAAAATATTCCTCCACCGTTCGATGAAAATTTCTTGGACATTCAGGCCGGTAAATATTGTTAATACTATTTATTATAAACAGAGCATTTACTTAAATATTTGTATCTATAAAAAGAAATTATAAACATAAAAATGTCTTAAAATAATTATCGGACTTTGTCCATTTCATAATGTGTGACGTCATTTGTTTGCATTTGGTTACGCTTTGAGCAGATGTGAATGTACGTGAGAGATTCTTGGAAGATTGAAGTCTAAAAGCAGTAAAATCGACCCTGCCAATGGAACGATCCTCCGTGGTTTGATCGGTCAAGGCACGTCAGGCTATATGACGGTTCCGTATAAGATACAGTTTTGATTCCTGTCGGAGAACGAATATTTTCTATGAAAATTTCTCGGACATTCAGGCCGGTAATGTTATTAATACTGTTTATTATAAAACAGCGCATTTACTTAAATACTTGTATCTATAAAAAGAATGTATAAACATAAAAATGTCTTAAAATAATTGTCGGGCTTTCATAATGTTTGACATATATAAAATTCATTATTTTTTTAAGACGTTCATATTATAAAATGATTTTCTTTTGGAGGGAAATGATGCAAATTGGAGATTTTAACCCTCTACAAATTGTTTAAGAGATATTCCATCAAGTGGGTTATGTAATCGTCCAAATAGACAATAATAAGATGGAGAACACATTTTTAGGAATAAGAGGTATGTAAACTTTTTTCTCGTCCGAGATCTTGCTGCATCGGATTATTCATTATCATGACGGAAGGCTACACTTTTACGAATGATTATAAGAGATCGTTTTTTTCTTCAACTAAGTGTTAAAAGAATTAAGTTCTGATTATAGATGACTGCTGTAGCAACTCAAAGAGGAACACACCAGCACTTTATCACCAAATATTTACCAAAATTTTGAGACGTGCGTTTAAACTATCGTTTCCATCATTTTTCGGAGACAAAAAACATTTGACATCGCTACGCAAAAACTTTCATGCTTCGGAACTATAATCGTCACTCTTCGGGCGATGGGAGATAACATATAATACTGGAGTATTTGAAAACAAATCGTTACCTCTTTTGAAAGTTAAAATGAGAGGGGACCTAATATTAGAATTAACAAATATATTTGTGGACATGTCTGGATTAACCAATTAAAAGCTAACATAGAAAACTAAGGATAGAAATATAAGGTCAGACGTTTGAGGGAGGTGGCTTATTAAATCATGTCGACAAGTTTGTCTTAGAAAAATGATGAACCCAACAATTTTTTGTCTTGGTAATAACAAGACCCTTATGACGACATTGTGCTAATGTCGAAAATACATATATACATACATACATACGAAGGGCATCAATAAGATCATTAATACGGTTCTTATTATATTTAGAAAAAAAAATCAATATATTTCTTAACAAAAAGAAAACGACACTGCAACACGAACTTAAAAAACAAACATGACATGTGAAGACACGATATTTAAGAAATAACGAAACTTAGAGAACAAAATCAATTCTTGTGAAAAGCGAAAGATTTCAGATATTGGACAATTTATATTTAAATTAAATTTTCATATTTAATTAAATTTTATATATAAATTAAATTTTATATTTAAATTTACACCGATAATGAAGTATAGAATGAATAAACAATGAAACCTTTACGAAGAACTCTCTTGACACACACGCACACACAGACACACACACAAATATATATTATATATATATATATATATATATATATACACACACACAAATATATACGCACACACATATATGTGTGTATGTGTGTGCGCGCGTGTGCGTGCGTATATGTGTGTGCGTGTGTGTGTGTATGTCTGTATGTCTGTTCTTTATGTGTGTCTCTCTCCAGAGAGAGAGAGAGAGACAGACAGACAGACAGACAGACAGACAGAGAGAAATAGAAATGAAATAGAGAGAGTGAGTTGCATGAACAGATTATAAGACGGAAAGAGTAGCAATGCAAGTAGATGAAAATGAATAAATCCTCCTCTCCTTCTCCATATATTTGTGCATCAAAATAGACAGAAATGTGTTAAGGCTGTTGATACTAAGATGGAAGCCATCATCGACAGAGAAAGGAAGAGTATAAGAGGCACGTAGTGAAACATTCTTAGAAGCAGTATATGTTTGTGTGTGTTTGTGTGTGTCAGAGAGAGAGAGAGAGAGAGAGAGAGAGAGAGAGAGAGAGATAGAGAGAGAGCGAGATAAGTGTCTATGTTTGTGTGTGTTTGTGTGTGTCAGAGAGAGAGATAGAGAGACAGAGAGAGCGGGATAAGTGTCTATGTTTGTGTGTGTTTGTGTTTTAGAGAGAGAAAGAAAGATAAAAATGTATATTTGTGTGTTAGAGAGAGAGAGAGAGAGATAGAGAGAGAAGAGAGAGAGATAGACAGATGGCGAGACAAGTGTGTATGTTTGTGTGTTTTGTATGTGTTAGAGAGAAAGAGAGAGAAATTGAGAGGGAGAAAGCGATAGATTGAGAGCGAGATAAGTGTGTATGTTTGTGTGTGTTAGAGAGAGAAAGAGAGAGAGAGAGAAAGAGAGAGAGAAAGAGAGAGAGAAAGAGAGAGAGAAATAGAGAGAAAGAAGAAGAGATAGAGAGCGGAAGCGAGTTCAATTTGTATATGTATGTTACAGAGAGAGAGAGAGAGAGAGAGAGAGAGAGGGCGATTGAGAGAAAGAGAGTAAGAGAGAGAGAGAGAGAGAGAGAGAGAGAGAGAGAGAGAGAGTACACTCCTGAGACATACTTTATGCACGTCTCAAACCTTAGACTGTCATCTATCTCCACCCACACGACAAACATTAAAGAACTAATTCAATTCTTCTGTCATCAAAACTTTCGCTATTTCCCGGATAGCCTCCAGAATATGTCACAAGACTGAAACCGTAGCTCGGCCGGACAGCCAACCCCCCACCAACTCACCTTAGCTATGCATTTCTTTGTCTAACCTTTGGCGATTCCGTTGACATTTCCGAAAACCGCTATTAGATCAGAGCATGGACATTTCTTCCACCGTCTCGTTGTCTCAGCCTCCCTTCTTATGAAAAAAAAAAAAAAATGGAATGAAGAATTCTGCAGTTTTCGTTATCGATGCCCCATTTTAGTTGTGCTTTTTTTTAACCTGAGGCAAATTAATCTGTGTTTATTTATAGGTTTTGCCCACTTTTTAAAGGATTTGTTGTTTTTTTTACATTTGCTGCTCTATGTTAGAAAGGGAGAAAAATAAAAATAAACAGTGAAGTAAGCATATAAATAGCTGAAATAAACGGATTAAAAAAAGCGGATGGAGTGGCGGTAGGCGTTTAAATGATAGACAGACAGACAGACACAGTATGGAGACCTGCAGGTAAGCACACAAAAAAAAAAACAAAAACAGGATAGTTTTGCTGACATACCATTCTAGGAACGGGCGATACCTTTCAAATTATAGTCGTATATATTTAGATTTATATACGATTATTGAAATCTCTATCTCAGCATGACTGTCTGCCTATCTGTCTATGATTAGAGAATATCTATCTATCTATCTATCTATCTATCTATCTATCTATCTATGACTAGTCAATTATCTATCTATCTATCTATCTATCTATCTATCTATCTATCTATCTATCTATGACTAATCAATTATCTATCTATCTATCTATGACTAGAAATTATCTATCGATATGTCTAGCTATCTATCTATCGAGACAAGACAATTATCTACCTATATATCAATGACTAGACAATTATCTATCTATCTATCTATCTATCTATCTATCTATCTATCTATCTATCTATCTATCTATGACTAGACAATTATTTATCTATCTATCTATTTATGACTAGAAAAATATCTATCTATCTATAATAGACAATATCTACCTATCTATGTATGACTAGACAATATATCTATCTGGACAATCAATCTATCTATCTATCTATCTATAACTAGACAATATATCTATAACCTATCTACCTATGTATATATATATATATATCTATGACTGGGACATCTATCTATCTATCTATATCTATCTATCTATAACTAGACAATATTCTATCTATGTATATATATATATATCTATGGACTATCTATCTATCTATCTATCTATCTATCTATGACTAGACAATTATCTATCTATCAATCTATCTATCTATCTATAACTAGACAATATCTACCTATCTATGTATATATATATATATATCTATGACTGGACAAGTATCTATCTATCTATCTATCTATCTATCTATCTATCTATCTATCTATCTATCTTATTCAGTCAGTTTCTATCTTTTTATCCCACTATCTTTCTTGCTCAGGCTGTTTCTATCTCTCTATCTCCGTACGTACTTACCTATATTTATTGCTCATTGTGTTTATCTATCTATCTATCTATCTATCTATCTATCTATCTATTTATCTATCTATCTATGTCAGTGTGTACATATCTATCTTTTCATGTATACCTAGATAGCTAGCGAAGTCTGTTCTGATCAAATTATTTATCTATATCTACTTGCTTAAAAGCCGATAAAGAAGACTGCGCTATAGCAAACCACTTCCTATTAAGTAATTAGTATTAATATTCTATTAATTCAAGCTATCTCCTACTTTCATATGCCGCCTCTCCTTTCAGGATATGGGTGATCAGCCCCCATTTTGCCCTATATAACTTCTGTCTTTTTTAATTGAGTTCATCGCATGTAAGTCAGTAAAGCCACTAAGTTACTAGGTGAAAAAGAATTAGAAACAGAAATGTTACTAAGAAGAGACAACAAAAAAGGTGTCATCAGATGAGAGTACACAGCGATTGACATTGCATTTAAACTTTTGTAGATTAAAGTTGGCTGGAAAACATGGAGCTGGAAATGAGTTCCACAAACGAGAAGTGCCAGAAAAGAAACTGTTAGCATAGAACTTACGGTTTCATCTAGCCAAATAAAATTCTCATTCTTTGATGTGATATACAATTCAAATGCTTCGATTACCTCTTCCTTATTGGAGAATACTTTATTGTGTACGAAAAGATCAAAATGCTTAAATAAGTGATAATCAGTAGGTTCGGTTTGGTTTGTTTTACGGCATATCAAGCTCAATAGGCTATTTATTGCCGACAAGATTTTTATTGCTGGTAAATTTTTTTCAGAAATGTATTGCTGGTATTTTTAATGTATTACTGGTAATAATTTTTTCTTCAAAAATTCATTACTGGTAATAACCTTTTATAAAAGTGCATCGTTGGTATTAAAACTTGTTTTTACAATTTTAATGCTTTGACCGCAGTATGGGGGTCAACTATTTTCCTATAGCTTGGACCCTAACAGGTGCTACCACCCTGGATCAGGGAACACCAGCAATTAAAGGTGCTTCCACGCTCCTCAAAACCTGATCAGGGTCCTTGCTGTTGGATGTAGTTTATCGTCTTACCCAGGACGCTGGTGAAGTTTATCGTCTTACCCAGGACGCTGATGTAGTTTATCGTCTTACTCAGGACGCTGATGTACTTTCTCGTCTTACTCAGGAGGCGGATGTAGTTTATCGTCTTACCCAGGACGGGATAAGCAATAGGAAAGATGCCAGGTGAATATGGAAGATGAGTCAAAATTCCATAATTCAGACTATGCTTCAATTGGACAGTTGATTGAGAAGTATGCAGATGTGCGTTGTCGTGCAGCAAAATTATGCTATCCCTATTCACATGTTTCTTTTGCAATTTTTCGTGCACACACCCAATTTCTACACAATACGAGGTTGCTGTTATTGATTTCACTTGAGGCCAGAAGAAATAATGAATAATCCCTTTGAAAGACCACCATACAGGAACTATTAATTGTCTGTGATAGTCGTTACTTCAAAGAAGGTTACGAAAATTGTAACGTTGCACGAACACAGTGGCAAGCCTTTCCAATGAGCAAATCAAAGTACTATAGATTTATCTGGCTTTCTTTCATTACCTTGAAAACTGAAAGAACTATTAGACGAGGTAATAAAAGAAAGCAAGATAAATGGACTAATTCTCATCTGTAAAAAGACATCATGGTCGTCAGCAAAAGAAGCAACCCAAGATGTGTGCTACATATTGCGAACGTCAAAATCAATCCGGTACATACATTTAAGTATTTGTAGTGACGAGGGAAAAATGTGACGCAGAACTCCGAAGGCACATTGGAATAATAAAATATGCCTTCCAGAAAATCAGGAAAGTATTAAGACATAGGAAATTTTCGTTAGCTTTAAAGGAAATGTTGCTGAACTGAAATTCTATATCTGATCTCCTATATGACAGTAACTGTCGAGAAATTTCTTTTCAGATGAAAAATAGACTTAAAGGGATATTGTTCTATCGACGAATGTTTAGAACACCTTGCATAATGCATGTGATTAATGAAGAAATTATAGATAGCCTGTAGAAAGAATTTGCTCTAAACGATCAGAAAGCGATAAATGAAATTTTAGAGTTATATAAAAAGGAAAGATATTCTAGAGAAGAAAAAAGCTGAGAAAAGTATTAGGTTGTCCAAGATGAAATAATGCATTTTTATTTGTTTGATGAAGTCGTCTAACGAAGTAACCTTCTAATCCACCATTGTGCAAATTAATTGAAACAAAACGAATAATTCCATTATTATTTACTTTTTTTCGTATGTTTCCAATGAGAAATGACCCATTTCACATGTTAGTACTTCGTATGTCCATTCAACAAAATCGTCCCTTACAGATTGATCACAGATCTCAATTGGATTTAAACCAGGAGAGTTTCCGGGCCAGTCTAGTATTTGATTTGCTCATTAGTAAAGCTTGTGCAGCGTTAGAATTTTCGTACGCTTCCTATCTATCTATCTATCTATCTATCTATCTATCGATAGAGAGAGAGAGAGAAGAGAGAGAGAAAGAGGATATATATATATATATATATATATATATATATATATATAGAGAGAGAGAGAGAGAGAGAGAGAGAGAAGAATAGAGAGGTGCATATGTATAAGAGGTCCTGTCAAAAAGTATCGCGATTAGTGCTATAAAATGAAAACTATAACGTATATTAATATGACATTTAATCTCCTTCGAAGTAGTGCCCTTCTGAAGCCGCGCACTTTACCATTGTCATTTCCATTGGTGGAAGAATTCCTGAACACTTTCTTTGAGACAGCCAGCAGTTGCTGTATTGCATTCTCTTAGATTTCTTCGATGGCTTTAAATCTTGTCCCTTGCATCACGTGGGGAATTTGATGAGACGTCTAAAAAAGGTTTCCCATTTTTTGACGTTGAAACAAAAATGTACAATTTTGTAGTGGATATGTGCATGTTTTAAGTTATCACGGCATAAGATAAATAAATATTTACGGCTCTACTTTATGTATTGAGCACTGATTTTAAATTAACGTTTTGAACGTTGTAATCCTACTATTCGCTCTCCTACACTTTGATATATATATATATATATATATATATATATATATATATCAATGTGGGGGAAAGGAAATAAGGATCTATATATGAAATTAATAGTCGAGAATTCCATGACAAAATGGTAAACTTTCAACGTTATTCGTTTCGTTATTGTTACTTTTTTAGCGATATATTCCTTATATGTTACTTTTTTAGCGATAGATTCCTTATATGTTACTTTTTTAGCGATAGATTCCTTATATGTTACTTTTTTAGCGATAGATTCCTTATATGTTACTTTTTAACGATAGATTCATTGTATATGTTTGTGGTTGGGTAGATTTACAAAAAAGCCATTTGCAATTTTGCTAAAGTGACAGAGATGGATAATAATTTGACATCTTAACAATCTTACGTCCGATAT